CCAAGCAGTGTGCTGTTGCTAGTGGTAGGGCAAATAGGATTTTAGGTTGTATCTACAGGAGTATTGAATATAAGCCTACAGAGGTTATAATTTCTTTGTATAGGTCACTGGTTCAGCCACATTTGGAATATTGTGTTCAGTCTTAGTCTTTACCTTAGGAAAGACATTGAATTGTTGGAAATGGTTCAGAGGAAGGTTACTAGAATCGTGCCTGGGATGGAGGGGTTGTCATAAGAGGAGAGGTTGAAATCTCTCAAACTGTTTCCTCTTGAAAAAAGAAGAGTTAGAGGGGATCTGAATGATGTGTTTAAAATTGTAAATGGAATTGACAGTGTTGATGCATCATCTTTTTTCATGTTTAAGAGTGAGAATAGTAAACTAGGGGACACAAGTATACATTTTGTAAGGGTAGGAGTCAGCTTCAGCTAATAGTTTTATTTTTCTAACAGGGTGGTTGGCCTTTGGAATGGGTTGCCTTCGGATATTGTGGAGGCAGTAAATTCAAGAGAAAGCTTGATAAATATATGAATAATAAGGGCTGGCTTTAAGATATTTTCTTTAATTTATTTATTAATGGTTCTAGTTTAACTTAGAAAATGGAACAGCCAAGATGGACCAATAGGTCCCATGTTGTTCCAAAATGTTATGTCAGTGCTGAAATTGGAATGATAAACAAAGAAAAGCCATGTAAAATGATGATCACACTACTAATTTTTTTTTGGACAGATGAGTCAGAGTTTGATAACAACCTTATGAAAATTCGTTTAATATGACTATCATCCCAACTTTGAAAAATGGTAGGAGTAGTACCACCGTGGACATGATTTAAAAAAGCTACGAATACTTACCCAATTTTGACATTTTGAACAATATTGTCCTGATACAATTATATGGGGAAGGACTTTTTTTTTATCATTGGAATACCATACTTCATATACCAAACCAGAATTTTATCCAGAGTTTTGTGAGACAAATAATGTCCAGATTGCCCCTTAGCCAGTCCACAGCCCCAACATAAATCCAAATGAAGTAACCTGAATGTTTCTGAACACTGTCTAAGGGACAGGTGCTAAAAATCTCATTTTATTTAGGGCTTCTTTTTGCATGGAGTGACAAGCTACTCTGTCAGATGTGTACTAATGGATAGCAGAAATTGTTAATAAAAAGTTCAGGCTGTGATTAACTCTGTTGGGTGTATTGTCCCAACATTTCTTATACTGCACATAAATGACACTTAACCTGTATCAGCTACAACCTCAGCATTAAGTAATTGTAAGAAGTATGGCTTTGGTGAAGTTATAATCATGACTACAATGAAACAAAAATAGATATGTTTTTAAAAATAAGGGATTAGAACTGAAGGCTAGAACCATCCACCATTTATGCTGTCTACTTCTCATGTACACTGGTTAAGAAGCACAATTTCAATAGAAGAATGCTGTACAATCTAGCGAACTTTCTTCAACTTCTCCTCAATCTTTCCAGAACTCATTGTCAATTTATTCAGCTCTATGGGTACAAAATCTGATGATTATATTATTACATTGTGTCCATATCTTTATAACTTTTAAGACAACTGTGTACAAGCTGTCAACCTAAAAAACCTAGTGAAAAAACTGCACACAATATTTTGTAATTAAGTGTTTATAGTCATAGTTACTGGAACTCTGATGATACTATTCAGAATTAAAATACTATTTCATATATATTCACATTATAATAGTACTACTGTAGCTAAATGTTTCTTTCTCATCTCTATCTGATTTAATATATTACATAAGTAACTTTAAGTCAAACATACAAGAAACCTGTTTCAAGTATTCTTTATTAATTGAAATTTGTATCTATATACATATAACTACTGTTTTTTTCTTTCATTATTTATTCCTGATAATAATTTCTTATCAAACACCAGTATTCTGCTCAACCAGTTCAAGTACAAGAATTTCAACATGCAACTAAAATTACATTCTTGTCTAACATTCTGTTGGGGATTACTTAAGTCATCAATGGTGGACATCCTCATAGCCATCAGGAAGAGGATTAACATGAGGATTATGGAACAGAGTTTTGTTTCCATCACCCCAGGGAAAACGCTGTAAGAAATAAGAAGAAAAATTTCAAAAGTTACTCAAAACTTTGGAACAGACAAGGCAAACGAAATTAAGAAAACCTACCTAAGAATATCAAAGTCAATGAGTTTCATCATAGTCTATAAACAATAATGTAAATAGTTTGGTTAAAAACTAGAACACACATGTAATGTAGAATTTATTATTTTATTACATACACAGTAATGACTAATAATATTTTTTCTTTTCTCTTTTTTAAGGCTTACAAGTTACAGACCAGTAAATGTGAAAGTAAAAATATATAATAGTAGCCAAAATTGGCATACTTTAATATTCTATTATGTCTTTGTGTGTGTGTGTGTGTGTGTGTGTGCATATATATAATATATATCTTAT